GCTTATTACGGGCTACTATCATAGTATCATGGTCGATTATTATTGTTATTATTTTTGTTTGAGGAATCGTAAGTTTGTGGCATAAGATTTCGAGATCCGTGTCTGCAATGCGCGAGGCATTGTTTAAGTGTCTGACCACGTGCAACGAGGTTTCGCCGACAAAAAAGGAAAACGGATGTCGAGAAAAAAAATTGAAGACTAACATCAAATTGACGTTTATCGTTGTATTTGTATCGAGCATACGCGTCTATTCTTTTCCTTCGTTATTTGGGATCGCTTGCAACTTCTTCCATTCTAATTTTTCTACGCTAAAGGTCGGTCGGTAGGCGAAAAATGATCGGCAGACATTGTGCGGCCGGTACCGAATACATTAATATATCATGAAAGAAATATTATAATAATACAGAAAAGTTAATCGAACGCAATAGGACCTTAAAAAAAAGTGTCAAATTACAGTTAGGTTAGGTTTTTTTGGCGGGAAAAAGAAATGCTTAATACATTTTTTATTTGATGATTCCCTATATAGTATATTTTGTATTATTATCACTATTATCATCATCGAATATCATGATGCAGAAAAGATAGAACTTCTACAACGTGTCAATTTTTATCAAAAAAGCAATAACAATGAATAAAAGTAATCTCAAAAACTTGTTATTTATAGAAAATGTATGTAATAATTCTTTTACACATTAGACTAGAYTTAACTGATAAATAGGCAATATTAAAAAAGTTTATACACAAAAAGAATAATATTAATGTGACCTATGGATAAGGTTTCATGAACCTAATTAATAATTTATAACCTGTCTAGAACGTTGTTAAATTTCTTTGAATATAAACACCTTAACATAATTGTATAAATAAGTATCTAAAATTGTATTAAAATAGTTCTATCATTATCTAAACAGTTGGTTACAGGACAAAAATGTTAAAATAACTTGAAAATTAAAGTAGTCTTTATATTATCAATAACAAGAACATAAATGGTATTTTTTTTTATCAATTGTAAATTATATTGTTATCTATATAATATTAGTTTTACTATAGATTCTGGAAATATAAAAGCGTGCATCTGCTAGTAATATATTATGTAAATGAGAAAACAACATTGTCAGTCATTGTGATAAAAAAATTAACACTGATAAATAAATACTTATTAAATAAATAAATACTAATTCACCACTTACTTCAGTTTATAGGTGGATGTAAATAATTTTATCTTTAAAAAAGTACAAAGTACCTACATGCTATTGAATATTAATGCTCAAAAAGGTAGTTTTATAAATTTTCCAAAGTTACTCAACAGAACAAGAGAAAAATGGTAAGGTAACATGAATGATAAAAATAAAGAATTTGACTACTTATTAAATAAACATCCTAAACTAAGTTTTACGATACTAAAAATAGATAAACTAATARAACTAAAATATTTCACTATAGAGATAGACAGGAATATAAAGTTACGATTACACTGTGTTCATTGTTTTTATGTAATATTTTTTTTTAAATAATTAAAATATAATGAAGCTAGAAAATAACTATCAATTAGATATCTGCCAAATTGGATTTATATATAAATTAAAAAACAGCTAYTAAAGTGAAAAAAATGGAACACTTAAGAAAAAYTATAGGTTTGAATGACTAACTTATTGGGTTATACTATTGTAATTTATGCATTATATAATATAAATAAATAAACTCAATAGAAAAATAAATAATGAAATGGATAAAATGAATGTGTGATTAATAGAAATTTAATTAATAATAGAACGCAGTAAAACTAAAAACTATGCCAAATCAAATACTGAWWTAAAATATTAATGTTTTGATGAAATAGATGGATTATTGGAAAGCTATTTACACAATATCATCATGAATAAGCAAAAACTTTTAAAATGTCAAGTAGCAATTTATTGTTCAGAATATGAAAATACAAACTAAAAATTAGCTCCWAACCAATTAAATGACGAAACGCTATAAAACCAATTCTTAAACATTTTTCATCAAACGAAAACCCTACAGTATTGTGTTTGCAACGTTTACTAATTGATGGTGTTAGTACCAAAACAGTGAGACTCATAGGTTGAAAATTGTTYGTGACCACTGGCCTGTAATCCCGGATGAATCGTTAAACGCGAGTGGACAACTTAAATGGACAGATAATCAATATTTGGAAAACGGCGCTAACCGGGAAATAAGTGATAAGCAAAGGTGAATTTAGTGTTAAAATGAAAATACCGCCATTTCAGTTTTCGTCAGATGAAAAATTGCATCGCAAACACCGGTGCCGGGGACCACCGAGTTCCAAGCAAATACTGACGGACGTGTCTTGAGGTTGGACTGTTTTTTCAAACCAACTACATACTGGAAACCCACGAACATTCGAGTAAATGTCAAGTAAATAATTAAATTTGTACATGTACCTGGAACGTAAACATTACGAACGTGTCGGTTTATTGAGTACAGGAAATCTGATTGCGAAGGCCTCGGCCTTTGTCGAACGTAACAGTTGATCGCCGGCGATGTACACTCGGATATTTCGTTTAACATTTAATTTAAAACKCGCACAACGACGTGTTATCGACATGAAAACGTTAAAAAACTATCGTTTAACCTAATCGGCCATCTTGTCCGTGTTCTCGAAGAATAACAAAACATCATCGATTCCGGGGGAACGAACAGGCGTTGGAGTGGGGATGCGCCAGTCCACCGGCGCGGAGCATGGAATGTACGAATGGCGCAGCATTAAATCACTTACTCCATGATATCATTGATTAAATTATCCATGAACGCATTTTCTATCGTCTTTGATAAGCTCAATAAACGTGGCAATTTTGAAAACTTCTAAAATAAATATTATTAAAACATTCATGATTTCAATTTAACTTATGAACGAACAAAACTAAACTACTGCATAAATCTGTTTATTTTAATTTTTCAATCTCAAAAACCGTAATACATAATACAACATACTAATCCAGTATAACTATTTGCCTGTATAGCGTATTCGTAACCTCATAGGATTGGTTAGTTTTGATTTTATCATGGTGGAATAGTACCGATACAATAATTATTCTTCTTCATAAAATTATATCAGATTTATAACACGATAATAATATGATCTTTCAAATTTACTTTTAGTGAAATGTGTAGTTTTGGATTTAAATTGACATACATTTAACCTATATATAAATACAATTTACAAATTAACATTTTTGATTAAGAAATTATATATATGTTTTTATAAATTTAGTAAACTTATTACAACTCTAAGGGCCATTCTTACAATGCTCGGTTAGTGCCTGATAACACTAACCGGAAGAATTTATCATGAGTTAACCGATAGAATTCTACCGGTTAGTCTTAACCGACACTTAACCGGACATTGTAAGAACGGCCCTTAGTCAATTTCATGATTATGATTATAATCGAGTCTTGAGCTTCATTCGCGATTATTTTTCAATACGTTCCTCCCTAACAAGACAATAGTATCTTAGACAATAAAGGATTGTGGATTGCTCTGACTGTATGACCTCTTTTTTCAGTAGAGTATATAAAAATAATTTTTGTGGTGGTCTATAATATATAAAAACTAACAATAATGATATAGCATAAAGTGGCTACTATATATTTAACAGTTGAGACTGTAATTTTGGTAGGGGCTGCAGCCCACTAGCCCCCCCCCCCCTATATACAGTCTATATTATATTATACTCTAATGTAATTGTTTATGTTTAAACATGAATCATAAGTCATTATGTATATATTATGCAACCAGTATGTAAAATTTGGATGAATTTTATTATTCATACCATGGGATGTGGATTATATAATATTATTGATTAAATTATTTTTAAGGTTCAGATGTTAGAGAAGCTAAAAAAGTAGAAACATGCAAGGAAATAATGTCAAATATTTAATAAATTATAAATAAATAAATAAATATTGATTAAACTTCAAAATTCACAAAATTTCAAATAATGTGGAAAACTGTTCRCATTTTAATATTGTAGGTAGGTACATTGGAATATTAGCACAACAGAGATTAAATGAGCATCACACCCTTGCCTATAAATTAACAGTATACTGAAACGACTAAATAATATTTGGTAATGTATTCAATATTATTATAAAAATTGATAGCTTAAGAAAAAAAATGAATAACTTTATTTTAGAAAAATTTTAATAGGTACCTATGTACACCAAAAAATATGCATTTTTTTTCATAAATTGATCACAATGAGCATGATAAACCATGGCAAAATTTTTAATTTTCAAACTTACGATATTATAGATTTCTTGTTTACTCTGCTGTCTGCTATAAATCAAGAACTTATAGAATATTATGCAAACCCCTACAACTTCCAAACTCTAGTAATGATGATTAAAGTACTAGTTTGATACATTAATTTTATCTTCTACCATCAGTATCAATTTGATGATAATATTACTTTTATTAATAACAGTTTAAGCTACCTACACAGTACGAGACATAATATACTAGTTGACAATCTAGTAAAAAGTGTTCATGYAGACTAAGGATTTATAAAGAAACAATATATTTTTCAGTAAATATATTAAAGTCATACATTTAAAAGATATACAAAATTTGAAGTAAATATTCTGTAGTGTTACTAGAGCATAAATAGCATTATACAGAATCAGTCAAATAATATWAAAAGTTTACTTGACCAAAAATTATTAATTGCTTAATATTACTAATCTTTGTTTTCTGGGCATGTGACTGATAACCACCAAGTATACATATATATTATATAATATACATAAATACATAATTATGTAATATATTATATAAATCATATTTCATAGATATATTAGCTAATAAGTTAATAAGTTGATCAGTCTATGATAAAAATGCACAACAAAGAATTTTGATTAAAAAAATATTGAGTAACTTATTTAAAAATTGTTTTTTTTTCTAAATGTACATGTTTAAGAGTTTATATAAATAAACAATGTAAAGGTAATAAATAATATTAGTAAAATAGTAAAATACATAATGAGATTTAAAAGTTTAAGGTTGTGTATATAAAAAAAAACACCTATAAGTATAAGATCACTATAGGAAATAGTTAAATTTAAAAAGGAACAATATTACAAGTATAAGTTATTTGAACTCATCGTCTTTTCTTCTTGTCTTGTTTTCTTGATCTATGATGAGAATATGGACGTCTAGGTGATGCAAATGTACTACCATCAGAGTCATATTSACTGCCATCACCGTTATCCTAAGATTCAATAAAATGATTCAGTATTTTTTTTATTTAACAAATATGCTTCAACCACCGGGGTTAATGGCGTTTAAAGTTCAGTATCTTTATTTTACGTTTAAGGTAAATKAAATAATGTTTATTACTTCAGTAGTTGATATTACCAACAATAGAGCCATACTTTGAAATATTTTAATGACTAATGTGATAAAAGTAGATTGAGAATTAAAATTAAAACAGAAAATATTGTGATGTTGTAATAGGAGTTATCACACTGATGAAAAGAAAAGGTGTTTAGAAATTTTGTTAAAAACAAATAAATAGATAATACTTTTTTAAAATTGATTAAGATGGATGATAAAAATTTATAAAAGATTAAATATTTGTCTAGAAASATGATTAAAAAACATATATTGGAGAAATCTAAAATAAACTTAAACACACTAGTATTTTTTTGGCATGATTTCAACACAATATTGTTATATTGAATAGTTAAGTTTTTTATAGTACAAAAGTACTTTTTTACTAGAGTTTAGTGTATCATCTAAATAATTTTAGAATGGAACTATGATTCTATTGGAATCTACTCATCACATCACTGACTATTAAATCGTTATTTCATCAACTTAAAAATTAATTAATATAAATTATTTTAGCATTATTGATATTTACTTTTGAGTCATTAGATTGATCAGTCAATAAAAATACAGTTGTTATGCATACTAATTGAAAAATAGCAACTAAGTATAAACCATAACGGATTACAGCATCAAATACTTCATCTGATTCTTCCATTGGAAACATGTTGAAAACTAGAAAAAAAAAATGAAACAAAAAATATATTATTGTTGTTGTATACATAATTAGGTAAAAGAGATAACATTATTTAATACACTTAAGTAAGATGTATAATTGTATAAAACGTATATATATATTTTTTTAATTTAAGGAAGCAAAATACTAATGATTGAACAGCTTTTGAATACAAGGTTGCTGCAAGTTTGTAAAATAATTTTTTACCAAACACTTAATTATCGTAAAAATCTGAGATTATCAATATTATAGTATTTCTTCTGATGTTAACAATATATTTATAAGTATTTTAGAATAAATGTATACACTTTTCAGACTTAATGTGCTAATGTAACTTATCAGTCATTTATAAATGTATAATGATATTTACTCAGTAAAAATAAAAATATAGAAAATAAATGTTTAATACCTATCAACAGTATCAGCCAAAATGTAGAATATTATAAAAAAAATACTYATTTAAAAATGTTAAATTTCTATTAGAATGTAATAGGCAATTATTGACCATTGACAATTTTCGTATTCTTAATAAAAAAAAAAAATAGTTAATTCTACAATAATTATACTCGGTACGAAATAATTATAGTCGTTCCCGTTCATCAATATAACAACAATAATAAATAACAAATAAAGAAGAAAGAACTAATAAACAATAAAGTAATAACATTAAAAATTGAAATTATTATTGTTATTGATTTTCGTGAACGTGTTATCACGTCTTTTATTCTTGTAATCATAGATAATAAAGATAATAATAATTCTTTATTATCTATGTTGTAATCACGGTTGTAGTCATTGATAATAAATGTTGACATACAAATATACACAGACTTCTATACTTATGTACTATGTTTGTTCTTTGGTACTATTATAGAAGTCTGTGCAAATATACAATCGCATACATTATTTAATGATAATAAGAAAAACATTTACGTAATAATTGTGGCTATGAACCATTGAGGTAATGAGGTATATAAACTATACTTATATATATATATATAGTTTATATACATCGATGCTATGAACCATTAGAACCATGAACTAACCGGATTTCAAAATGTCTTATATACATTTTATCACACATTCAATGATTCAAACCAAGGTGGATTGATATCAATTGATTCAAACCATAGTAAAATAATTAAAGCTCATCCAAACTATCATTTTTTTTCTGGTTTTTCATCATCATTTTCCTCTAGTTTTATATATAATCTATATTCTTAAACTTAATATTACTTAATATTTCTAATATAGAAAAGTTAAAGAAATGTATATAACTAAACTATAAACCATATTATAGTTTATTTTGTATATAACAACATTTTCTGTTCTTCCATATTTTAAGGTTTTGTTCTTCAAATTATTATCATTTTAATAGATTTTGTTACATGTATGTACATAATTATTTTACATCCATAGTAATTTATTAATTTATTTAGTTTAGATTGATCAGTTATTATTAATTAATATACGTTTATAATCTTTGTCTGATCTCTGTCATATATGTATATTAATGACATTGGCATGTATAAATTCACGAATATTTTAATAAAAATTCATTTTTTATACTTAAAAAAAAAAAAATAATAATGTATTTAATTATAGTATGTGTAAATCTTATTTTTACATACACATTAAGGCTTCCAAAGTTTTGAAAATGTATTTGCTTTTGATATAAAATCTTTAATATTTAAACTCAATGCTTTGTTATTCATATTATATTTTTCTTATTGTACGGAATTTATTTGCCTAAATTCTACATTATCATAAATAATATAAATTAAATAAATTCACCTTTCTATTCTTAATTAATTTTTTGTTTTTTTAATTAGGTATATGTTAATATTTAAAAATCGTAATCAAAATGTTTTATGGTTGTATATTCTATGAAAATTTGTGTGATATCCTAATTATTTTTAATTTCTTGTAAATAACTTAATAGTTTTGAGCTTAATTTTAATGTTTTAATGAAACAATTATATAATGAATAATGATAATCTAAATTATTTTATAAGATCTATTTAGGTATAATACTCAAAATATGAGCTGCTATATCCTTAATAAATATCAAACCTTTCAAATTTAATTTGGATGGATATATAATATTCATTATAGACTAATTAATCATGTATATAATCTTAAAAATTGACCATAACTCTATAATTAATTAATACTTTCATGAATATTTCTTGTTCTAATGAGTTATTTAAATTTATTCTTCACCTGTGTCTAAATGTTATTTGTTACTAGAAATCTATAGGGAACAATAGCTATGCAACATTATGCAACTTAAAATTACATTTACAATACATTAGTGAATACTGATTGATGTATTTTTTTTTAAATTTACTATGTAAATTATAACTGAAGTACAAACAATTATTTTGCAAGTGAATACTTTTATAACACAATCATTTTTGATTGTTAAGTTATAATAATGGTATAGCATAATACAAGCTTTGGAACAATATTTTATTGATRCAGCAATATCTCAGAGTATGTACCTATTGATGTTAGATAGTTCTTTATTATTGTTATATTTTGTTTTACTAACAAATGTATACCTATTACTATTTGGATACCTATTACTAAAATACAACCATTTATATGAATTAACATATTGTTTGTCAATGAAAATTAGAATTTTATTGTAATTTTATTAAGATGTTTTTATTGTTGAAATTTATCAACACCTTCTATGGGTCGGTTATTTGTAATTGAGGCATWTGATATTTCAATAATTTAAAATATTATAGGTAGTATACCTATAGTAATTTGTATAAGATATATTTCACTATTTCTAACTAATATTTAGAAATAAATAACTTTTTTAAAGTATAATCAAATTTTTGAAGAATACCTTAGGTAAATCAATATTTAAAAAATTTTATATTTATTGTAACAGTTAAAAAAAATATTACATAAAGTACTATACGTAATATGCATAGGTACCTATTATATAAGAGTATGAAAAACATATTAATCTCTGACATGAAATTCTATATAATATGTATAATGATATAACTTTAAAGTTGATTTAATATTATAAGTTACTTATTAATTTGATTATAATAAAATATCCATTTATTATTTGRCATCTGTTATTTAATTGGAATAACGATTAACCAGATATAATTTGTAAGGTTACTCAGTGATTTAGGTAGTTTACAATTTTATTAGTAATATAGTTTAGTTTTTAGTTTTTAATCTTAAAAATATAAATTATTTATATTAGTTTTAATATTATAATTCAAGTGTTAATATATCTTATTTTAGATTAACAATGGAACCATCTATTAGTAGACCATCATTTGAAGAAATTCAAATTCCTGTACCATTTGGTTTTATAAGTGGTAAGTATCTAAGTAGTATTATTAATTATTATTTTTTTTTTAATTATCCCGCGGCATCTAAGGCCATTGGGAAGGGGGTAGTACTGTAGATTTTTTATGGAACTGTAGGTTGGTTTTACACGTGGATGAGAGTTTTGGCAGAATTTCTATTGGGGCACCTGTAGGTTTCTGCCATTCCCCGGAGTGGGGGATTGCGGCACTTGTTCTCCGGACACCGTGACTTGCCCGGAGAAAAATGCCGCCYGATGGTCTAGGATCGAACCCAGTCCGGCTGAGCCACAGCCGACGCGGTAGACCACTCGGCCACCTCGTCCCCCTAATTATTATTATTAAGAGACATAAGCATTTATTATGGAGTAGTATTACTAGAAGCTCTATCACTGATACCTTCATGGTCTATTATTCTTGTATAGGTAATATTTAAAACAGAATGTTAATTTTCTATCTTAATAATAAGTAAGGTGTGTAAATTTTCTTGTTGCACTATTTAAAAAAATTATATTGTGACTTAAAATAATCAATATTTATTTGTTGAATTTAAGAATCATTATGCCTAATAACTTAAATTTCTACCAAAGAGTTTAAAGAATTATACTTTTCACACACATATATTCAATATTTGTATAGCTATTATAGAATTTAATTAATTTTATTTGTTTAYTAGGTAAATGGTGGGGACCAAAAGATAAACAGCCTATAATTGCAATTCATGGATGGCAAGATAATGCTGGGACTTTTGATCCTTTAATTGAATTACTACCAAAAGATTTATCTTTTTTATGTATAGATCTACCAGGACATGGACGATCTTCTCATATTCCCTCGGTAAAAACATTATTTTTCAATAAATTAAATTTATGATTTTTATTCAATTTTTAAACTGTACATACATTTTTATAACATAATAATATCTAATGTAATTTCATATAGTCATTATCCAGTGATAAGTAATTTAGTTTCATTATAATTTATAAGATACTTTATAATATATTCTTTATCAATTACTTGTGACAGTATATTTTATATGTATATAATTATCTAATGAACTTTCTTATTTGAAAATCTGAATTATCTATGATATTTCAAATATTTCATGAAAAAACTTGTTAATAAATTGTTCATGTTAAGACTATAGATTATTTAAATTAATAATTATATAATTCTTAGGGTTTACCTTATTACATATTTTGGGATGGTCTAGTTATTTTGAGGAGAATAGTCAAACATTATAATTGGAGAAAAGTTTCTATCATGGGCCATTCTTTGGGTGCAGCTATTGGATTTTTATATGCAGCATCATACCCCGATGATACAGAAATGTTGATATCCATTGACACAGTAGCACCTGTAATTTTTGATCCTAGTGAAATTGTTAAAAATACTGGACCAAATGTCGATAAGTTAGTTTTATTTGATACATATTTTGTTTATATTAATTTCCAAATATGGAAATATGATTAATAAACAAATATCTAAAACATGTTTTAGACTCATATACTACGATGCATTAGGAATTGATAAAATGCCTTCTTACAAATACTCTGATATGATTGATTTAGTTGTGGATGGACATCATGGTACATTGACTCGTAAATCTTGTGAAATACTTATGAGACGTGGCATGTATCGTGTTAAAGATAACAAATATTTGTTTTCAAGAGATATACGTCTTAAGGTAATTAATATATATAATATATATTGTTTTTAGATATTTATCATAAGGAAATAATTAATATGAACAAATAAACTTTCCATGTCCAGTACAAAAGTGCAATTAACCATTAATTTCATAAAAACATGTGTTTAGAAATAGTACCTATTAGATATACTAAAATCATTTTTATAATTTATAATTTAACATTTTAAAAAGTCTTATTAAGTTTTTATTTATATACATATAACTTATTGTTGTATTATTGTATTAAATATTATTAATATACAATTCTCATTAGTGTTAAAATTCGCAAAAATGTATGAAAACCTTACTGGATCTCCCATATAATATGTAACTATTAAAATGCAAGCAGTGTAAACTCTCTCCCTAATTATCGTTATATTTACCTGAAGGAATTACAATTTTTTTAACTTTATTTGAATTTAAGAAAAAAAATTCTATTTACTAATATAATTATAAAATACAATCAAAGTTATTATAGACTTGGCAGAGCTTACTATACTATCAGCATAAATGCTATTAAAATTCAGAACTATAATAATGATTCTAATTTAAGGGTGAATAAAATTATAAAATTAATAGGTCCAAATCCAGGGTGTCTCATGGGTTTTTATTTGTATTTAAATTTCAAAAAGAGACTTGAATATTTTAAAAATTGTATAACCATCAACCTATAATCTATGGGTTGTGTATTTAGCCACTCGATCTATAAAAATAATATTCATAAAAGCTTCAAAGATTCCCTGAAAAATATTTTTAGCTTTAAATTTTGATGATAGGCCAATTTACTATAGTAGATAAATATAATTATATTAATAAAATAAAATGGGTTCTTAAATAGACATTCTGAATAGAAATTTTCTTTTGGAAGATGGTAACAACACATGTGGATATTACATTTTCTTAGTGGAATTTAAATTTTTCTTAAATGTAAATTCAATTTAACTAATGTGTATTTAGGTATATTTTATATTGTAAAATATTTTTTAAATATATCATGAAATAATAGGTATGTTATTTTCATTAAAACTTAGKATATACCTAGTTTAGTGATTATGTAGTGCACTATAAAATATGGAGTTAGGTAGGTATCAATGTAAAAATGTTTAAAACGCTAATGGGATTGCTATCTAAAATCGTAATATTACGTTTTGCATGTACAGGTTGTGTGGATGGGTTTACCATCTCTAGATGTAGTAATAACATTTGCTGGTCAAATAACATGTCGCTATATGAATATTAAAGCTAAACCATACAGATCATTAGATAACTGGCCAGTCTACTCACAAGTTTTGGAAATAATAAAAATGAATGCAAAGGAATTTGTTTTTAAGGAATATGACGGTACTCATCACTTACATCTCAATAATCCTGAGTGCTTAGCTTCAGATGTTGCAAGTTTCATTCAACAGCCTATCAGCTCATCACTGTGATATTATATTATATTGTATAACATGTAATTATAAAATAGTTGCTATTAGTCCTCATATATTATACATAACACACATGTATATATATTATACATAATTCATCATGTTATGTATAGCAGTGCTATAATATTTATATTTAAGATATTAATATTTTATACTTTCTTGTTTATATTATGTTTTATGTATAATTTACATTTCAACAGGTCTATATTATATAATATGTTTAATATTAATATACCTAAGCTTATAGGTATGTATACTATTTTGTTACCTCATTATACGCATCCTAGTAATAGCTCAAAATAGGTACCTAGACAATCATGGCTACATACAAGGTTCTCACAAGGGCTGGGCTGTTGGGCCTTTTGAAATGTTGTTATAAATACTTATTTTATATTCAATAATAGTTTATAGGACCCACAATAAAGTTTAGTACAGAGGTCCAAAACTTGATGTGAGGGTTAGACATAAGTTATGTTACTAGCAATTTTTATGGTTATAGAAACGTTTATCTAAAAGTTTTGACTACATCAACTACTATMGATTATTGTGATGAGAAAAATTGTTATGGAGAGAATTTAATGAATGTAGAATGACAGATTAGGGATTTGGTGATTTGGTTAAGTTTGAAAGTTTTTAGTTAGGGAAAGTCAAATCCAATTGTGTAGAAAATTGTTGCTGCTCCATGATTATACATGGATCGGTGATTCCATTAATTGAAATRAATTTTAGTTGTATGTTTAAATGTTATATAATTTAGATTATATTTATAAGTTAATATATAGTGGGCCACTAGTAATCGAAAGCGACCATTTAGGGACAATAAGGACTGGAGTTTCGAGTTCGTTGTACAAATGTAAGCTTCAACTAGGTGTGTGAGACGTCTAACAGCTGTGATTGAATAACAAATATAAGCAATGGACACGAAAATATAGGATATTTTTTTTTTTTAACAAAAATCATATGCTAATCTTCCTAAATTGAACGGTAGAAAGAAATCTATTTTATTTTAATAAGATGATGTTTACCAGTACCTATCTTTGATAAATGTTAATTATCCATTAAAGTATTAACCTATAGAAATTTAAAAGTATATTTTTAGAGAATTATTAATTTGCAAGCAACATAATATGTACGATATTATTTATATTTTAAATATGGCTTTTTATCATAATATTAATAAAGATTAATAATATACAAATTTTTCATTTTGGTATTATATATTTAATTTTAAAATAGCAATATAGATTTTTCATTAAATGATTTTTGCTTATTAACAAAATAGTGTGTAATTATAATGTGTGTTAATGAGTTAATGACGAAGGCGTAAGTCACGGGTAATACAATTTGAGAACGATGTGACGATGTGAACGATGGGGTCGTTAATYGTTATTGGTTAGTGGATGGTATCGATATTCGATAATCCCACATTATCATAAAACTAGTTGAATGATAATAATAATTTATTGATTTCTCCAACAGTTTCGTGATCTAACTATTCAAAAAATTGAAATCACGCAACGCAATAGGTAAAATCATTAATTATAGAATTAATGGTACAAATGTGCAATGTACATAATCATATTTTATACGTGAAATAAAAGAATGTTTTTAACTAAATTTAATAATTTAAATAACTTACGAACAAAATGCCTTAAAACCCCAAAAATGCGTAGCTCTATACCTAACTTATAATGTTTCAGAAAAAAAAATGCTAATAAATTTGAATCCACGTTCTATATACCTAAGGGCCGTTAGTACCTACTAACATATCACATAATATATTATTTAATTTTATCTCCAACGGCCGTAAGACCTTACCTTGATCATGTATTTGTTTTAGAAAATATCTGTATTATAATTATCGTGCATAATCTAGAATTTTTGGAATTTTTAAATATACTTTAAGACTGTATTTTCAAATTCTCGAGATTTGTTGTACTACTTAAAGCCTTAAGGAGTGTCCTATGTAAGATCTACTTCCATTTTTCAAATCAGAATATCTTTTTTCAACTGTAAATTATATAATGGATAATTTTCTGAACATTTTGACGTAMAAATTTAAATTAGTACTAGTATTTTTTGAATTATTGAACTTTGTGTTCTAAGGATAAAAGGTCCATATATTAATGAATATTTTTGTAAAACCATTTTTATTGGCTATTATCTTAAGGACAAACATTTTAATAACAAAGAAATTAATCCTTTACATTTTTAATTAGATACATAAACATTTTCAAAAAATTATTCTTTATATAATTAACTGTAAAAAAGGGTGTACACATTTGAAAAATCGTTGATTATTAAATATTCGTTTTAATATGATTAAAACCCTGCTATAGCTATAGCTATATAATAGTATTAATTTTGTACTATCATATATCGTTTATTGTATATGTACCTATACGTATTGTGCTTAGCATAAAAGTTACCGTTAATTTAAATGTACGTTATTAAATAATTATTTGCACAATAAGTAACTAGATTATTTTGTTATTTTTTTTTATAGGTAAACAGGTTCGTTTTACCGTCATTTGACATTACAAACGAATTTGCCAAACAGATTCGTTGTCGTTACTTAATGATCAAAGCAGTTCCGGGTAGGGTGCGTGATAATTGGCCACTTTTTCAAAGTATATTAGAAACGATAAAACAATCTACAGGTGATTTTAACTACGTAGAAGTTGAAGGGTCTCATCATGTACATTTAAATGATGCTTCGAAAATTGTTCCACACATTTTAAAATTTTTTAAAAATGTTGCTTGATTGTAATTTGTAACTTTAATTATACAGATGTCCCGTGAGGATTTACCCATATATCTAACGAAATAATGGAGGTATATCAAAATTCTGGTTTTGTAATACGACTCACAGGAATAACAACTACAATTATTTCAGTTTTTGATTTATTTGAATGGTTTGGTAAAAAATTTAAAAACTATATTTTTTATATATGTTTGATTATTTTCAAAAATATTAAAGATAACCATTTTGTA